AAATCATGTAAACATATTATGTAAATAACCCAATTTGTGTTCTGTGAAACCGAAAAGGATATTGCATTGTTTTCGTTACTTTCGTTGCAGTTATATGTCTTAAATGCAATCTAGGTTAACTTCCTGTTTTATTTAGATGCTTTTATTTTTGAAGGCGAGTTTACGCTGTTGACAGGAAGTTGTTGTTGCTATGGAAGTTGTTGTTGCTATGGAAACAACATGACGGAGATAATAATAATAATAATAATAATGGATTACATTTTTTATTAGAGCGCTTTTACAGGTGCTCAAAGCGCTTTACAAATACACATTACACATATTAGACATGTAAGAGTCATTACTGTGGACATTACCCACAGGAGCAAATGCAGGTAAAGTGTCTTAGGACACAACGGCCTGACGCAGTGGCGGCCGTGGTGGGATTCGAACTGGAGTTCTCCAACGCCCCTTATCTGATTATCTGATTATCTGATGACCAACGCTCTAACCACTGCGCCAAAATCGCCCCGATAAGTAATATCTTCTAATCTACATATAAAGACGAAGAAAGTAGAGAATAAAGTGCATGTTTAAATGTTAGCACCCCCCCGAAGAGGCACACGCTCTTACGTTGAGTCTGCATACATTCTAAATCATCAGTAAAGTCTACGACCATATTTTCGTTTGGGGTTCGGGTGCCATCATGTGGCCTTCTGTAGGCATCTTACTTGCTTCGGCTGTTGCTTGGCTGTTGACCAAGTTCGGGGCCATCTTTGTGCGAAATTCATAATTCCATATTCGTGTGTCCATCTGGTGTCAATTTCGGGACAGTGTGACAGGAGCTTTAAGGGCCGTCTGTCAATGTGAAATTGGGAATTAGGGGGCGTCAAACATTCCAACAGGATGTCTTGTGTCTTGCCAGCTTTTGCATTGAGCAAATATTTCAGAGAAAAGCTTATCAACACAACTTTCATACCCATGTCCCTTTTTGGATCTGTGTCAACTCTCTTCCCCAGACCTCGGACCTGTTTGCCATGATCGAGAGGATGCAGGTATTGTAAGGAACCTTGGCTCCGCCTTCTTTACTTGCTGCCTAAATTGGCAGTTCTTCCAAACTCTAATCAAAGGGCAGAATTTCTCTCGCTTTGAAAAATACATTTCCCATTAACTTCTATTTCGAGACTCCATTTTGTGCTTTCCCTGAAATGTTTGCATTCCAGTCCACAACCCTGCTTCTGCAACACTTAAATGTGTGTGTCCTGAATTCTTGCCTT